TTTAAAGAATACTGCAAATCTTATTTCATGCCAACATTCTTTCTTCAATTACTTGTACAATGTAGAAAAATGTACAACAATCGTTCAAAATGGTGTCTTTCTTCTGTTATGCAAATGTTCATTTTAACAACCGAGTTTCCCTTACATTTGCAAAAATAAATGGCCCGGAAAATATTATGTGGCGTCTTTCATTGGTACACGTACAACTCTGTAAATCATTTTTGATTTCAATAATAATTTAGACACCCTGTATATACGTACATAAAAATATATATTTACACTTCCAAATCATAAATAATAATAAAATATAGGGTATTAAATTTATTTTTATTCATATAAAAATTATTATTTTTGTATATTTAAATTGTATATAATTACCATTTTATAATTTGTTATTCAATTTCTGACAGTACTTTTTACATATTCCAATTCCATTAAAATAATTTTATTATTATGTAAATTTTGTTCTCATATAAATTCATATTTAAAATTTTGTATTTTCTCAATATAATTTTATAAAATTTAATTACAGATATACGATTATTTATTATAAAAGTTTTATAGATTAATTATCTTATAAATTAATAGTAATGGTATTTTTCATGTTTCACATACACATATCTAGCTATATGTGTATGTGAAACATAACATGTGATAACAATTGTTCTATGTACAAATCCAATATATATATATAATATATACAAATAATTATTATACAAGTATAAATTTTACGAACAAATTAAATAATTTATGTTATTAAATTTGCATTTTGTAAAAATTTATTACCAAAATAATGAAAATATCTAAAATTAAAATAAAAAAATTTTAAGAAAATTTTGGAATTATTTATTATACAAGCAGATAAGTAGATTTGTATTTGAATTCATTATTTATTTATATTTAGAAAAATATGAAAATTGAATTGAAATATTCAAATATTTAATATGTTTGATGATTATTGTATTAATTCCTCATGCAGTATATATCCAGAACAAATAAAATGCACAAGTGGAAGTTCCACTTTTTTGTTGAGTTTTAAGTAATCTCTCCTATTCTATTATTATAAAATTCAGCTGCACTATAAAAACTTTCATATAACGGGAGTTTCCGTTTATAAAATTCTACAATAGTTCTAACTTGTAGTACGTTCGAAAATTCACGATGCACACACTAAAAATATAGATCTTTCGGAAATTACTGGCTGCAATAAAGTGCGTTCGGAAATTCAATCTGAAATAAAGAAATGTTAGAAATGTAGCGCAGGCGTCTAGTATAAATTTTGTCACAACTTCATGAATTTTTGTTTTCTTTTTTAATTTAAAATTCAAAAAAAATTTTAAATTTCAAAATAGCAGATTCAGATATTGAAGGGTTTTTAAAGTAAGTTTTACTTTAAGTCTTCAAATCTCGTTAAAAATTCCTTATTTTGCAATGAATTGCAAGGCCAAAAGTATTGGGATATAATTTCATAAATAATGCTATTAAAATAATTTTTTTTTATTTTCGAACGATAGATTATTTAGAAGTTTTAGAATTTGTAGACTTTGTAAACAAAAAAAGTATAGCTAAAGTTTTTGCATACTGTTTAACGCTGCGATTTAGAGATTTTAGTTCTAAAGTAGAACTTTCAGCGCAGCGTGCATAAACGAAAACCCCCAACCTGTACTATCATATACTCTTTGTCCGGAAAAGCACTATAATATCAGCTGGCAATTTACTTTACACCAACAGAACGAAAAAGGCATTTAAAGATAAGATTTTATTAATATTTACAAAATACAGTTGTCCTCCAAAATTGAATCCCCGAAAGTAATTAATAGTCAAATGAAACGTTAAAAGCTCAATGCTAAATAAGCGATTTGCCATTATATTTAATTTTCCCCCAAGATTTCACAGGACATAGTAGATGTCAGCAACTAAATATTGAAACTGTTTAAAATTTCTGATTTATTTATATAATCTGATTTTTTTACATTAAATCGGGTATAGGACACTATACCGATGCTATATTGGATTAAAATTCCATAAACATTTATATATGCGCTCATACATATTATACAATAACGAAACTGATATATAATGTAATAAGTGATATGCAATGTAGGTGTATATTATATTATCAAATAGTGTTTTTATAAATAGTTAATTATAAAGAACACAATCAGTTTCTATACCTTATACAACTAATTAGAGATTACAATAATGGATTGTTATTAACAAGAAACAATTATCACGTTGTCCCGTTTCTTGCATATTCCTTTACCAAACAATTTATTTATAATAATCTTCCAAAAGGTTGAATTTAAATAAAAATCGAAAAAATCCTTTAATGTTATTCACTAAAATTTTTTGTAATTCACGCAAAATCAATTGTGTAATTCAAGCAATTAAATAAACTCAATTGCGCTACTCTTTCATGATATTACAAAATTTTTAATTACTATGTCAATTTAATTATAACCTATAACTAAATAGGTTGTAAACTTCGATAATATTTATATGTATATGATATTCGCATGTATTTGTATTTGGCGAAACTCGAAAAAATCAAAGTTAGGCAAAAGGACTCCCATTCAGATCTACAATTTCATTTAAAATTAAAGTAATTAAATATGCATAAGTGATAAAAATATCAAGTACCATTAATTCATGAATTTTTTTTGGCGTATATAATTGAAAATATTTTGGATAAAGAATTATAGTACCTTCATAAAACCTGTAACTCTATAAAAGCGTTTATTGAAATTTTAATTATGTGAATTGTATAAGTACTAGATATAAAGCAAGCTCTAAAAATCAACTAAATTTCACTGTTAATATTAATGTATATATAATGTTAGCTTTAACGTTAATTTTCGGGTTAAAATTTTTTTAATAAACGTTATCGGCCCCATTCTACAACTATAGCTTACAAGTTTTTAAATAAATTATAATTTTCATTTATATTTCATTTTCAATAACTTAAACTTTATTTTTTTGAAAAAAAAAATTTATATATGATATGAAAATCTCATTGTATAATTGAATTCACATAGTATAATTGAATTGAAATTTTCACATTAAAAAATAAAATTAATTAAAAAAAATACAATTGCATATTACTCATAGTCACCCTACTAATATATGTGTATATATGTATATATGCATATACACATACACAAACATAAAAATTATATTATACAAATATATTTTTTTATATTATTTTTTAACTATTATTATTTTTATTTGCGCAATAATTAAATAAGATTTACCGTTGTTTATTTAATTCACAAGTGAGCATAAAAATAATTCGATTAAAATTGCAATTTATTACCAATAAAAATATTGAATGTATGTATGTATATACATATATATGTTCATATTCATTTATATTACACTTTCATATAAGTATTATCGTACTTTATATCGTAAATTTATTGATGTAGGAAGATTGGAGTTTTTTTTCTGTTTTCAAGTACTTTTTTTTCTCCCTCTATCTCTATGTATATTGTACTTTGTAATCAATTAAATTGATTTTCGAAATTATAAATTTTGAAAATTAAATTTTTTGTTTTTTCTTTTGTTATTATCGTATTTTCACTTTTAAAAAATCATTTTTATTAATTAAATTGGATTTATTTTTAAGTTCATTTTAAAATGTAATTAAAAATAAATAGAAACGTTTCAGTCGGTCTTTACCGACTGAATTATAACTTGACAATCTGAGCTTAAAAATTTATTTTCGAAATATTATGCATTCGCTTGTTTGTATGGCAATTCCTCGAACCTGATAAACCATTTCATAAAAACTTCTAGGATGTATGGCAAACACAAGTCTCATGAATCTCAATTTATTATTTTTTCGAATATTATAAATTAGATTTTGGAGTTATATAGCAGCTACTTGAACCCGTTTGACTTTTCTACTGTTTTGGTAGAAAAGTTGCGATTTGTGAAAATTTAGTAATGTTTCCTTTATTCGCTTTTTGTTAATATAGCCTTGAATTGTCGTGTTTTTAACGTCAGTTCACTAAAATGTAAATTTGGAGCCATTTTATTGGCATATAAAACAAAATTTATGGTAAATATTTTTATTTTCGAAACAAACAATTGGTTATTTACAGAATGAATTTTTTTCGGATAATAAATAAGGGTCGAATTTCCTATTCTTGATTCTAATTTAACAACAGTACGAAAAATTTAATTTGAATACTATAAAGTAATTACCAATACATAAGTTAGTTTATCATTACTATTAATTCTTATAAGATATGGAAATTCTTCCATACAATTGTAGAACAGATGGATGACGTAATCAAGAGAACTAGTCAAGGCAGAATTTAATTTTAATTTATCTGCCAAATCTCAAGATCGTGACACGGGAATAAACGACCTGATAAGTTAAATTAAACTAAAATCATGATACATGAGGCTTTTTTCTCCTCGGTTAACGCAGCCATTCTCGACTTATTGTGGCAACACTCAAGGGAATTAAACATCAGTTCGCGAAAACTGGGGAAACTCTGTCAGGAACAATTTCGGCTCCCGACAGCTTTTACCGGGTATTTACAAAATGATGTGTATGATGGATTCTAGAACAATACTTGACATAGATTATTGGAGTATGTTATAAATTCAAATTTTAATTGTGACAATGTTTTTTCAATAAAAATCGTATAAAATCAAAATCCCTTTTGCAGGCAAAATCTTCACCATAAACATCATGATGGTAAGCAAGCACATTAAAATTGCTTCCAATATTTTGCTAAAGTAGTAACTTTAAAATACTACTAACTTACTTCTCTTTAATTAAATTAATTTTTAAATAAAAAAAAAATTTTTATTTTGACGGTAATAAATTAAATTAATAAGTACAATATGCATTAATTTTGTTTTTGTTTAACCCATTCCATTGCCAAACCCATTTTAAATATTATTTTTTTTAAATTACATCTGAGGCATTATTGAATTTTTTTTTTTATTATTATACCAAATTTTATACAATAATTATTTGTACTTACATGTATTTGTTAATCTTTCTCTCCATGCAATTGGATTTGCAACTAATCCTTGTAAACCGGGCCAATATAAATGTGGCCTTTCAACAATATGACCGGTATGTGTTTTTATTGGGCCACCTTGATTTTGTGATAAATATTGTGCCATACCAGCTGCTGCAGCTGCAATTGAAAAACGTGGCATACCACCTGTATAAGAAGAAACAACAATAAAAAAAAAAAACAATTTAAAATGGTTGTTATTATTGTATTGGTAATTTTTTTTGTTGTTGGAGTTTGATTGTAAAGAATGATAAAATAAAAAATAACAAATGAGTTACAAAAATTATTTATTTATCAACGATAAAAAATTTGGCATGGTTATTAAATAAAAATAAATTGATGGTTGATAAAAAGCATTAAAAATAAAATAAAATTTAAATTTTTTCATTTTGAATGTGATTATTGTGAAATTTTATAAAATTATTGAATTTATTTTTTTTTTATTTAATTAAATTGATTGCTCAAATTATTTGACATTAATTTATACAAGTATTGAGTACAGAGATTTAATCTTTTTGACACATGCTTTTTATAGAACCATTCATTGCAATCGTCAGCAAATTGTATACAAAATAATATATGGGACAGTGACTTTGAAATAAGATTTTACACTTAAAAAACACGAAAATCGAAGCACTAATTTAAAATTGCTCTTCAAATACAATTTAAACATTTGTGTTTCTTTCGTATTTTTGATATTACATGCCATCTTGCTACAAAATTGGCGCATTTACTTCTTATGTTGTTATTGAAATTTACTTCCTATATATAAGAATTACAATTTAAAATCTGTGGTTACGGCCAACAACTGCCGAAATCGAATTTGATAATTCTGAGTTTTATAACAAATTAAAATCTTTTATAGTTTATTAAATCTAAAATTAAAATCTAGTTTTTTAATTTCAATAAACTACAAGTATATAGAGAAAAATATAAATAGAAACATTTTTTATAAAATTTAACCTAAATTGGCTTTATTTTCTGGAACTTAGAAAATTTTTGCATAAAACTACCAAGCCGAAGGAGTTTATCTTTAAATATAATATTATGTTTTAAGATTTAAATCAATTATAGCAATAGCCGTGTTTACACAACGAATTTTACATCAATGGTTGGCATACGTGTCATTCCTTTTGCGAACTTCGTGAAGCTTCGTGTAAGTTTCGTGTAAGCCAATAATAAATGTTTGTATTATTTTATTCTTCTTTCAGTATGCTCTCGTACACTGACATAAATAATTTACACTCATTTATTCATTTAGTTAAATAACGTAACAGATAACAAAAAATTTGCAATTTTAGAACGAGATTTAAGAAGTTTTATATTAATTTAGTATTGCCAAAAAGCCTACAATTAAAAGTTAAAGAACTATGAAATTATCTAATAAGACTCATTGTAATAATAATCTAAGTTTTAGTGTTATACACAGTCTTATAGTGCATGAGTCAAATTTTAAGAAGAAAACTCATTAAAAGTTTTTTGTATTCATTTCTAAATTTAAAATAAATAAAATTCCTAAACTATAAATCAACTGAAAATTTTGAAGTTAAGAGAATTGAAATATTAAAAAACTTAAAACAGCTCTTTTTATGGCACAGGCGGTTCAAATAAAATTTCTACTTTTGCTAAATTAAAAATACTTCACGAAAATTATGGGCATGTGACCTAATTAAATATTTAACAAACTAATTTAAAATGCTTAACAAACTAATTTAAATTATGGAATAATAAAATAAATTGCTGTATTTTATTTTTATTTTATTATAACCAAAAAAAACTTAAAATTTTTTAAGTCAATTCTTAATTCTTAACCCATAGACAGCGAGATTTCAAATTATGTGAAGTAATCATAATTTAATTCTGACGCTCTTAATTTGATTCTGATAATGCGCTTTGCTCCAAGCTTACCCTTCTCTTGAGGAATTCTAAAATAAAAGTTTTGTAAATACTCAAATTCACAAAATTATTACTTAATCTTTACATAGTATGTAAGCATCTTGACAATACTACAATTAAACAACAACCAGAAACCTTTTGAAATTTTATAAACTAAATACCTTTTCAATCAGATATTTATTCCAATTTCTTGTTATGAAAATTTATGTATTTGTTTGTAATGAAATTTTTGCTATTTTATATTGTACTTGAACTGAAAAAATATTGATTACTTGAAGAATGGCAGACCGACCACCGCTCAGATTAATAATCTTAAAAAAATATTTTGTTTCCATAAATATATAAATATAGTAAACAATTTTCCGCATTATACTATAAAATAATATTATAATAGTCTTGTTTATAAGTTAATTTTATTCCTTGTAAATCTGAGAAATCACCTGGACGTACTCTTGTATCGAACGCGTCAGTAGTCACCATAAGTGAAATAAACCAAAAAAATTTACCGAATTATAGCTCCTTAACATAATGACTTTTTCAAAGAAAATTATCTCATATTATTTAAGGTCAAATAAAATAGCTGATTACGTTATACTTATTTCAGCCACTTATGCAAATTGTCTTCCAGATGTCTTAATAAATTTTGTAATTTCTTAAAAAATATTAATTTCGATCTAGGATTGAATTTGATTTTTGTATTACTCTTCCTAGAAGTTACAGCTTCTAAAAAGTTTAACAACACATCGCCTGTTCAATTTTAGGCTAATCGAATTTAAAATTTGAAATTTTGCGACTTTAAATGTATGTATAGGGTGTTAAGTTACACATAGTTGATGTATTTTAGCTTAAATTGTAAAAATATAAGCATCATAACTAACTAGACATGTTGCAGGGTTTAAAACTGTATTCTTTACGCATTTTGACTTTATTCATTCACTCTGTTAAATTTATTTGTAATAATACTTTAACTATATATCGAATCGTAGCCTTAAAATATTTTAATATTGATACAATTTCACAAGTAAACTGATAGTTTTGAGCAAAAATGTAGTAAGTGTAAAAAATATGGTTGGGAATGATTAAGTTTACATTTTAAATTTAATTAAAATCGAAAATACAAAGAGTGGCAATTAATACAAGACGTGTTGAATAAAGACTAAGAATAAAAAATGCAAGAATTCTCATAAAGAAAGCAAGTCTTAATCAAATATTACAGTAAATTTTGTTCAAAAGTCGATTTTGATTTTCTTCATTTACTACTGATAAATTAATTTTACAACTTCTATTAAATCTGCAATAGTCATGCTCAGGAACTGGTCTGCTCAGATTTTCAATTGCTTACACTACTTTCTACAATTTTAATTTGCCTTTTTGCCAGTTCAATATAGTTATATATAGGATATATTGAAGGATTTCAAAAAACAGAAAAAGATTTTAAAAAGAAAGTGAAATGCTATTCACAAAAAAAGGAAGGAAAAGTTAAAAAAATCTAATTTTCATAAATAACCGGAAATGTCCATTTGACTAAAATCCGATTCGTTTATCTTAAAAAATATTTAACAAATTTTTATATTGCAAAATGAAAAAAAAAATTAGAAATTAAATTTTTTTTTTCCTTTTTCTTTTATTTCCAAATACTTATAATCGGATTACGCATGCTGAGCCCATAAATTAACACTTCGATCTATTCATTAGTTTTTTTTTTATTATTTTTTAAAATTGATTGCCAAATCCCTTTTTATACCTTTTCAATTGTTGTGTTGTTTTGCAAAATTTTCAAGAGAAAAACAAGAAGCGCTCTAAGATTCATTTGTATTTATTATAGTTTATGTATATGTACGGTAATTTGAATATGTATGGAGAAGTCACGTTTTACCTAAAATCTATAACATGCGACTATTTGATTTATGATTTATAGACGTGAAGAAATGTAATAGAAATTTTAATAAATTAACATGCATTTGTACATTACATAAATTGTACGGTGGTTAAAAAAAATTCAAATAGTAAAATTAGGAATAATTTCTTAGTTAATAAATGATAAGCACCTCAATTAGAAACTCTGGTTACATTGTATAAAAAAAATTTAGATCAAGAAATGGAAAATCAATGGAAAATGAATGGAGTTGAAGAATGGAAACGGGGTTCGTTTAGCACGAATTTTATTATAGCATACTCAGAAAGTTTTTTTCGAATTAAGTCTAAAAATTTTTTTTATTTTAATTCTTTTATTTTTGAGGAACTAAAGCTTGAAAAAATTATTAATTAATTTTGTAAAATTTTTTTTTTAATTGAACTATGGTCCTTTTAGCGTGTAGGAAGTTAATTAAAATATACTACTAATAATATTATTACTTCATCACATATATTCTACATATTCCACAAAAACTATTTTAAAACTACTTTCATGGCTTTGAAGAGCTGTAGGAAAAGATTGCGGTGACATAAAAATTTTATTTCAGAAAAATGATTTTTTTACTAAGATGTCCCAATTTGTTTTCCAAAAAACATATTGAAATAATCGAAAACAACCCCAAAAATTTAAAAAAAAAATTAATAACTTAAACTTAATTCTTAGATTTTAATAAAAAATAATAAAGTCATATTAGCCCTATTTCATTAATTCTCTCAAAACTTACAGTAAGGACGTGCTATATACGTCATATAATTGTTCCAAGTTAAACTAAAGTAAAAATTATTCGTGCAATAAACACCAATGTACAAGAGTAGCATAACTAGATTCACCTATAGAATACGAGTTTAAGCAAATAAAATTGTGCGTCAAAGTTTATTGAAAAAAACCGTGTAGCGCAAGATGCGATTCATAATGACGCATATCAACTAAAATATGCAATTGAACCAAATATTTTAGTTACGATGGTGGATGTTACACATCACTTTTCTCTAGATTTATTTTTTGTTATTTGTGTAACACATAGCCTAAATTATTTTATCACAACCTATTTTGCAGAATGCGAAATCAAAAATTTACTTAAGTTCATGAATGTCTATAAGTTGTAATAAATGAACTATAAATTAAAATTCTTCCTATGTATATGTATAAAATAGATTTTCGGATACTTGATTTACAAAAAGTTGATCTTTGGTGTTAAAAGTATTGGAATGTCAGATCTAAATAGTATGAATATGTTTGAGTATCTCAGTTAAATACAATATTTTACTAAAGACTAAATTTTTTAATTGAATTTCTGAATTCACTTTGCAATGCAAAATTTGAATAAACTAATCGAAAAGCAGAAATATTTAAAAAGAATACGATCAACAAAAAGTCAAAAACTTGTTGCTCATTACAAAGTAAGGTTGTCGAATAAAAGTTGCAGACTTGTTCAAGACCTTTTCTGCTGGATTTTTAATTACATTTACAGTAATATGTCGCGCTGCCATATGTTAGCCAAATTTTTTAAAAGGCTTTTCTCAGGACCTTGGAAAATTATAATTAAAACATGCTGTCGAAAAATATTCGACGGCCGGAAGACAGATACGCATGACCATATTTGGTGAAAATTTTAAGAGCAATTACCAAGACTTTTATGCTGATGGTAGAAGTTCCACTGCAAAAATCTTCTTCATTTTCAAAATTGATCTGCGTGCAGTAAAATTGTAAATCTATGTCAAATTTCAACTGACTAAGCTATATCGTAGCTAGACCGATTTAGAATTTTATTCTGTGCAAACATATTTATACTTTATGCAAATAATTCCTTCTTGGTGTTACGTATACGATGTTACAAATTAGTATACGTTTTTACAAACGTACTTACAAAAGACGCGGGTTTATTAACAATTACACTTTTATAGTTATATTAAGTTCGAAATACTTATATAAATTATTCCAAATATATGTTAATAAATTCCTCAATAAACATAATGATGAGAAGTTAAATTGATGTCAGAAAAGAAAAACTGTGAAACCCTTAAACACAATTTTTATGTTGTCAATAATTCGCATAAATTTGTCAAACAAAAATCTAAAAAGATTTGAGAATTTCATAAAACGAGTAAATGAAAAGGATTAAAATTGAATTTGTTATATTTCATATGATTAAAATGAAAAATCATTTTTGAAATTCTTTGTGTCACCGCCGGTAAATATTTTCAAAAGAGAAAACCAAATATGATTACAATTACCTGCTGCTAATGCACTTAATCCGGCTGATGTTACAGGTGGCGGCCTTGACAATATTGTATCAATACCATGTGGATTAGCTGTAATATGAGAATTTTGTTGTGTATGCCCCGGCGATGATGATGACGATGACGTTATACCATTATTATTGTTATTATTATTACTATTATGTAAATTAATTGAACCACCATTATTATTATTATTACTATGATTATTATTATTGTTATTATTATTATTATTTCCACCACTTGTTATTAATCCATTCTGATGTTGTTGTTGCTGCTGATGATGATGATGATGCTGTTGCAGATGATGATGATTTTGATGTGCTGCTTTCATTTCAGTCATTGAATGTAACGCAGCTAATGGTGGTCCTAAAAAACTTAATGGTAATTTATGATCTAACATATCGTGTGAATTATGTTGCAAATGTGCCTGATGATGTTGTTGTTGTTGGTGTTGTAAAATTTTATTTGTTAAACTACCGACGGTAAACGATGATTGTGATGTTGATGTTGATGAAGAACCAATTGGTGAATTATTTAATTGATGATGTTGAAGGTGATGTTGTGAATGTAAACTATGTTGTAAAATTTGTTGATGTTGTAACGGTTGTTGCTGTTGCTGTTGTTGTTGATGATGATGATTAAGATGTTGTTCATAAAAATTACGATGATTATCAGAACTATTTAATGAATCAATACTATCAGCAGTACCGGGATGTATTGGACTATGATTATTATTATCTTCGATATCCGGTTCTTCACTACTTTTATGACTGAAAGGATATGATAATGTACTATCCACTGGGCTACTATTATCGTATTTACGTTTATTTAAATTAATATTATTGTTATTATTATTATTGTGATTATTGTTATTATTAATATTATTATTATTTAAATTATTATTACTATTATTATTTATTAATTCAGGTGATTCACTACTATAACGCGAAGATGATACCGATATTTGATGATAAGGCGATACTTCTGATGTTTTACAATTATTATTATTATTATTATTATTTTTTAAACTTAAATAATTATTATTGTTTGTATTATTATTGTTATTATTATTTGCACTATCTTCAATATTATTATTATTATTATTGGTATTACCGTTATAATTTGTTTGACATTCTGATTTTAGAGTTGGTGTTGTTGAATTATTTAAATGATCTCTATTTGTAATATTATTATTAATATTGTTATTATTATTATAATTATTATCATTAAAATTATTGTTATCATTTAATTTATTAATATCATTTAGATTATGATTAGATGATGATGATGATGATGTTGTTGTTGATGAAGGTGGTTGATCATTATGTTGCGACGGTATATCAAGTGGTAATTGATGTAATGGTGGTGGACTACCACTATGACGATAAAATGAATGATTATTTTCACTATTATTATTATTATTACTATTATTACTATTATTATTTAAATGAAGCATGTAAGAATTTAAATTATATAAATCACTACAATTTGATTTTTTTAAATTTTCAATATGTTGAAAATATTTTTCACAAAAATCACTTTTATTTAATTTAGTACTATTATGATTTTTATTATTATTCTCTTCTAAATTTAATTCAAAATCACTTTTTTTATTATTATTATTATTATAATAAAAATTATTAAATGTATTTAAATAATTTGTATCAATAAAATTTCTTTGAAGTTGTTGATAATATTGATGTTGTTGTTGTTTTTGTTGTTGAAGATGATGATGTTGTTGATGCTGTTGATGTGCTATAGCAGCAGCAAATGACTTTAATTTTAAATCAGAATTTCTGATATCATCTTCATCACAATTTACGATATCAATTATACCGGCGGCGATATTTTTATTATTTGCTATTGTTAATTGATTTAATTTTAATTCATTTAATTTTGTATTATGAGAATTTTTATCATTATTTAAATTTTCATCATTCTCTTTAAAATTAGAGAAATTTTTTATTTGAAATTTTTTTATTAAATTTGTAGGGCTATCACAGCCCAATAATTGTAAAAATTGACTACCCAGATTGATTTTATTTTTATTAAAAATAATAAATTTATTTTTCTCTTATTTTTTTCTTGTATATTTTCTATTTCTATATTTTATTCACTTTCTTTTTATTCCTTGACAAATAATTTTTTTTTCCAATTATTCATTAACAATTTTTTTTTCCTTTTATTAAAATTATTTTTCAATAAAATTTTTTGAGAAAAAATTTCAAATAAGTTTAACTAATTCTTATTATGCCCGAAACCAATTAAAACTTATTGTGAATAATTTGATTGTCAAATTACAATAAAATTTTTAAATTTAATAATTCATTCACAATTATTTTTATTATTATTATTGTTTTATAAATACTTCATTTTTAATTAATTTTCATAATAGAAAACCGATTTCACTTAAAATTTTCTTTTATAAAATTTAAAATTTTTTAAAATTTTTTTTCAAAAATTTTTTCTCTTTTCAATAATATGAAAATATAATATTTTTTTTCTATCCGATACACCTGTATTTAACTACTTGACTACCTAAACGTGACTAATTCATTATAGGCCTATCTTGAAATGGAATGTATACACTTTTTTTTTATTATTATTATTATGCTATGTGTTCAAATTTCAATTTCTCTAAATATAATATTCAGAAAAACAGAAAAAAATGTTTTTTTTTTTTATATTTACAAAAAAAATAAAAATAAAAGAAAAAAATTCGAAAAAATATCACATAAAAATTGAGTTTTAAAAAAAAATATTTTTTTTTTATATTTTCACTTTATTTACTTATATGTATATGTATAATATATTAATAAGTAAAAACAAAAATAAATATTCTCTACAGACCATGCTCTTCTTACGACCTCTTCCCTTATATAAAGCAATATTCACTAATATATACACTGTTATATTATTATTCCACGTAAGTGTTATATTCACTTATTTTACTCATTCGCTCACTATATGTATATTATGTGTTCTATAATGGTACAGGTTAGAAAGAGAAACATACAAAAATATGAAAAATACAATATTTGATTCTCAAATTTAAAAAAAATTACGTGTAAAACTACAAAAAATAAGAGAAAAAGAGAAAAAAATAAAAATGTATAGGTATACAAAATATAATAATATAATCTATTAAATTCACATGCACTTATACATGAATATATTTGTATCCAATTGGTATATAATGAAGTACTTATTATTATATATCAATTTTATATTATGTATAAAAAGTAGGAAAATTATAAGGAAAAATTATAAGAAAAATATCCTTTTTTTTTTGTTATATTTTTTTATAGTTCTTTAGCTCTTTAAAGTTTATTTAATTTTTATATAGTATATACACACATAATATATATAATTCAATTTTTATTTCTTACGTATTTTATTTGTATTTTATTATTTTATTAAGCGCATACATACTTTATATATTATTTTTATTATTTAATTGAATGAATGGAGATTGGAGATAAAATATAATTATGTACGTGTCCTACCAATACTATTACAATAAAAATATTTATCGAATTATATTTTTATTTTTTTTTATTTAAATATTATTTAATGATAAATATATCATATTAACACAATGATAATATAGTGTATATACTTTTTATTATCTCGTAAATGTACATGTACAGATATACAATTTTTATATACGTTTTATACACATACAGTATATGGTTGGGCTATATCATTATGATGAAATTCCCATTAAACGTAATTAAATAAAAATATAATTGTATATTATTATGTATACATACAAATGTTTTCCAATTGATAATTGAATGTAATTCTTAGAGTCAGATTGTTGTATATTATATCCATATATTAAAGTTAATTATTATAGTTTAATATAATAATTTATAATGAAAAAATTGTATTCTATATAGTTAATTATTGTTGTGAGAATAAGTTAATAGAATTATAAGAATCTTATTTATTTGCTATAAATCAGTAGTACGAACATTTAAATGCAAATCTAATGGGAAAATTTTAGCTTGAACGATAAGAATTGTATTACTAGAAAATTATATGATTTTAATATTAAATTTCCATTTAAACAGATTTCTGTACTACTACTATTTTTACACATTTATTTAAATAAATATTTAGAAATTTTTAAATAATCACTTTAAAAGATTAATTTTCAAATACGTTTCTATTGTTCAATTCAAGCCTTGAAAAACAAAAATCACGTATACTTTTTTCAACGATGACAAAATTACGACTAACTATATTTACTTAAATAAATATTTTTTCTGTTGTAGTAAATATGTTAAAAAAAAATTAATTATTCTACACCATAAAATTGAATATTAATATTGAATACCAATATTTATATATTATGTGCACAGTACGACTATATATATGAATATATATAATATATAAAATTGGACTCAATATCCACTATAATATGTACAGAATTTTTAACTCAATTTATTCACTTAATAACTGTATATGTAATGTGTGTATTACAAAATATTTCAATTTTACATATAATATCATATATTATATTATTATTAATTTTTCTGATATTTGTATAATTTCTTTTTTTTTATAACACAAAAAAAAAATTGTTCTTATTATTATTATTATTTAAAAATCAAACTATATAAAATATTCGTTAAGGATAATAATTCACACATATGTATATTTTATAACAATATTATAATATATTGTTATAAAATATAACAATTTAATTTTAAACACATACATTTACAGTAACATAATCTATTATAATATAATATTATACAGTAAACATTTCCATTCAACGTAATCTACAATACATATACAATATTATTTAAATAATAATCATTCGCTGCCACCGTTTTTATAAAATAAAAAATATTTTAGAAGTGCAAATTGCATTTTATTTCTTTTTTACGAAGATTTTTAAATACATTGGTACATATATATACATATATAATAAAATAAATACAATATAATAAATTTATAATATACTAGCGTAAATATTATACTGTAAGTTCTCTAAATCCCGAAAATAATCTAATGGAATGAAAGAAAATAAAATAATACCCCTAAATTCTATACAAAATGTATATATGTATACAAATATACAAAATAAAAATATAAAGGTTAAAACAAAACGAACTCAGTCATATAATATAATAAATGAGATTTTATAAAAACAATACGATATATGCATATTATACAAGTTATTATATGTACGGGTAAATTTTTCAAACAATTAACTTCCACTTTATTAATATACTACTATTTATTTGTGTGTATGGACGCGTATGCATTTTTGTATGCATTTGCTTAGGTATATGCTCATATGTATCTTATATGATTAAATGTACATATTTTATAAATTTTTTTATATATCTTATTTTATTTCACAAGTATACAATTATATGATTATAACAGTTTTCGATTTATTGTATGATTGTATTTAATTAAATATTTTTATTTCTTATACATAACATTTTGCACAAAATCGAATATTATTTACAAAAAATTTACAAAATAACTCAATTATTTTTAATTCAAAATAAATAACATTGCTCTCTAAATTGTCCACACGATTACCTATACCTATAATATACCCATTATAACAATAGATATAATATCTCTTTATTGCTTCTACATATTATAAGACAATGTAATCATTAACAATATTAATGTAATTCAACTAAATGATCATCATTAATATTATTTTAATATCTAGTACAATAGTATTCATTCATAATTATATACAATCAACTAAATTAGAAAATCCACAAGTATATTTTTAAGTTCACAATCACAAAATATATGAATATAAATTCAAAAAAAATATAATAACATTTTCTTAAAACATTTTTGTATTCAGATAAAGGTATGCCATATGTTGTACCACTACATTTAAATACTATAGCAGATGCCACACACGCATAACGCTTTAAATATTAAATTCACTATGAAGAATAATAAAGAATATTCGGAATTGAAACACATTGTGAGTGTGTGTGTAGTGTATTATCTATATTATAAAAACAAAAAATATGGTTTTGCATAATATACTAGTACTACTATTGTGAATTGATATATAAAAATACAATTGCACTATTAATACTACACAATTATACTTGTACCCAATTCATAATATATAAATGCGATTTTGTACTACACTATTAATATTACTGTTCACAGAATTAAAATGTATTGATATACAATGATAACATTAGTGAATTAAAAAAATTATATTTGTATAGTAGTTATAGAAATATTAAATTTTTATTTGTGTTAATTTTTATAAGGACACATCCCATATAATTTTGAAAGTGTTTGTTACAAATACAAGTATTATGGGTTTATTAAAAATGGTTCTTCTTCTATACAAATGAACACATGTATAATATAGAAGAAACATATAGAGAATAGAGAAAATACACTTAATAATAGAGAATGAAAATTAAATAATGGAAAATAATGAAATAGAGACATTAAGAGAACAAAAAAATAAAAGAAAGAAAAATAAAAATGGAAAAGATAATTTGAAAATTAATGGAGCTTTTGATATATTTATATACTTATCCATGTACATATACATATATACATAAGTACATCCTTAAATAAAAATTATATTAACATATAAGATACTATATACGGTATTGTTATTAAAGTATTTATATATTAGGTATATGTTTGTACTTATGTACAATAAAATGTATGTACAATACACTTAATATTGCAAAGAATTTTATTTAAACCGCATTTTTCTATTTTGCTTTTGTTTTTTTTATATAATGTACTCATTGGAAAATTATTTTCATAGATTAGAAGTTTATATACATACATACATGTATGTACATACACAAACCGAAATATAATCCGAGAAATGG